CTTTTCATGGGCTCTAAACCCAATGTACCAGTACTATTAGCTGGACATCTCAGTATGGATGTCTGAAACTCAACATCTCTAAAACAGTTTGTTTTCTACAAATTAATGACTGTTGTGTATTCTTTATTGTATAAGTATTGTAGCCAGCTTCTAAAGTGGTCCCAATGATTCTCACCTGATATTTATTCCCTTTTACCTATAAATTGTGCCTAATAAACTAGGTAATCTGAAAAGATTTCCACGTGGAATGTCAAAGTGCTGCCTGGCCTCCTCCTGCTGATTACAGTAAAGTGCAGGAGAGTGAAGGTTAGGATGATAAATATGACAGGCATAGGAGTTGCTGGTTTTGAGAATTATCAGCCTCCTTGGTCAGTTGATGCTAGAACTGAGACATGGCTTTCTGGCAAAGATCAAATTCAGAGCTCTGCCTGGAAAATAAGGTCTAAAGATGAAGCTGATGTGGAATCTCAGAGGGAAGGCAGGGATGGGTGGGTGGGAAGAGATCAACCAAAGAACTTGTATGCATATATGCATAAACCCATGGGCACAGACAATAGGGTGGTGGAGGCCTCGGGTAGGGTGTGGGCGAGGGCAATAAGGGGTCAATGGGAGAAAAAAGGGGACATATGTAATACTTTCAACAATAAAGATTTAAATTAAAGCTGAAGCTGAAGGTGTGGCTATAAAGTTCTTTTAAGATCTTAGAAAGATTCAAAGTGTTGCCTTACAAATTTATCTAGACCAGCAGTGGGACTTCTAAGAAGCTTAAGGGTGGTGTCCCTCAGTCATCTCTGCAGACCGAGATAGAAAAGGTGTTCTTTTGAAGGGATTTGTGGGTGTGGCTTTTTGGTGTATCCAATGAAGTTCAATACCATTCACAGAAGACAGGATATTTTTGAGAGAATTGTATTTTCAGAAACACCCAAACTTCAACTGAAAGGGAGAGAGGACTGTGAAACTAAGAGACTTATAGTTCCCCAAATTTTAATGGGGAGGAAGCCGACTGAGAAAGCTAACACTGATGCAAACAGAAGCTGCTTTTCAAAGAAATGGAAAAATGATATTCAAGGTGAACCAAGTGTTCAGAGGGTAAAGCAAAAAAGCATGAAGAAGTATTTCCTGGCCTGGAATTCTAATGAGTGGCTCACCCCACTAATCTATGCTTTGCAGGATTTCAGAATTTGAGTGGCATTCATTTCTCCACACTTGGAACTGGAGTTACCCTATACCTGTTGGGAGTGGGGGGCAGGTTAGGTAACTTGTTCTATTAGTTCACTGGCATTTAATTTGAGAGGAACTGTGCTCAAGGGCTATACTTAAGGAACTATACCTGAGGCACCGCATGAGTACCTGGATCTGATTTAGATGATGCAATTCCAGGTTGTGAGCTCACCTTATAAAGGGATGAGAGTTTTCTGCACCTTGGGTAGGGTTAGTGAGGACATGAATCATTGGAGCCAGAAAGTGAACTATGGTCTCTAGTCCCTAAGATGGTCCCCAATAATTCTCACCCCTTTCTATTTATATGCTTAGTCCTCCCTCCAATGAATAAGGCTGACCTGTGTAACCAGCAGGACATGAGGCAGTGATGGAGTGTGACTTTGAAAGCTAGGTAGGAGACATTGCAGCTTCTATCTTGTTTTCTCTTGGATGGTTCACTCTATCAAGCAGCCCTGTGGAGATCTCCATTTCCACAAAGAACCGAGGCTTCCTGCCAACAACCAGCCCTGATTTGCCAGCTGTCTGAGGCAGCCACCTTAGGAGCAGCTTCTTCAAGCCTCCAGTCAGCTTTCAGATGACTGCAGCCCCACCTGACATCTGTCCACAACCCAACAGACCCTCAAGCCACAGCCATCAAGTTTAGGCCGCTCCCAAATTCCTGACCTTCAGAAACTGTGTGCAATCATAATGTTTATTGTTTTAAGCTGCTGAGTTTTCCGACAACTTGCTCTGCAGCAGTAGATAATCTGTAGAGGTACTACAGCAGACTAATATGACTCTGGGAATCTGTAAATTTCTGTGGCTTCCTCCTCTTGCCTCAGTTGTTATAGCAAGTACTGTTCCTGACTCATTAATCTCTCTCTAATTTACCCTTCTGCCCTCCACCCCACACCTGTTCATGACTGCCCTCATAATTGATTCAAGGCCAAAGGGTGGAGAGGGGATTTGAGAGAATATGAAAATCTTCAGCCATCCTGCTATTTATGTAGTGTTTGTTTTTATACATAGTCATAGAAGAACTTAAACCTAAAAGGAGCTATATCAGATCTTCAGGGATCAGCTTTTTGGGGGGCTTATTTTTAAGAAGCCACCTTTGGTCCTCAAGGTGTAGGAATTACCGATGTTTAGAGCAGGCTTTTGACATGAAGTATTTTATGTAAGCTGGGCTATGAAACACAAATGTTTTTTTGTGTGGAGGGCTGGGCTAGGAGCGGCTGGGCTTCCCTGCCCTTGCAGACACAAGCGTGTGCTCTTGGTAACGGCTTACAGATCCACAAACTAATCACAGATGTGGAAAATGGGGCTAGAAAGGTTAATATTTCCGAAGCCGCATAGTTGGTTGCTGACAGAGCTAACTTGGAGTCCTGGCTACCTGTTCAGTGAGATAAGATTTGTTTCAGGTTTGTCCTTTGTTTTTACTTTGTCTTTGTGAGTTCCAAGTAAAAATGATTCCATTAGATGAGGACTACATGCTTCCCTTTTAATACGTTTAGCTGGGTGTGGTTTCTTGATGTTTCATCAGACATGAAAATGTTATAATTTTGTATCTCCCCTTAGGCAACTCTCTGAAATCGCATAAAATAAATTACCAATGGGCTCTAGTCCAGTAATCATGATTTAGGTTACAATTCTGATTCCAGTCCAACCTGTTCCTGCTGCCTAGGACATGGGTGACTTTGTTTATGAACTTTGTCTGTTTTATACCTGAGCATCATCAAATTGTTTAAAAGATTCTGCTTTTTACTGTACAGGCTTTATTTAAAATTAGAATTTATTCCTATTAATTGTATTTTTTCTTTGTCTCCAATCAAGTGTTGTCATGTTATATTTTAAGTGGTTCCTTCCTAATACTTTGGATGGGTTTTGAGGCATGTACACATTTATCAGCCTGTACATATTTGTCAACTGAATGAATGTGATTATATGTCTATAAAATATGTGAAGAATAATTTTGGCTGTCAGTTACATAAGTTTACTTTTAATTTAACTTTGTTTTAATGTTATATAACATTTAAAATTTTCAGAACCAAATTGAATTTGTGGGAAGACTTCTTATGGATTATTTTTCCTTGTTGGGTATGAGATTTGCATCACATAGGATTTGGGGTACTGGTATACCAAACCACTTACTCTTGTCTGCTTGTCTGAGGGTCAGTCGTAGAACCATGAATTTGAATCATTTGGTATACAAATAGTATGATTTCTAGAAATTATGTGAGCTTACCAACAAAATGGCCACTTTTGCTCCCCCTGTAATTTTGCCAAAACGTTATTTCCCTTTTTTCCCCCCACATAGGATCATATAAAATACCTTTAATTGAGCTATTTAACTTTTGACTTATACATTCCTTTAATCTTTGACCTCTTATTTAAAATGAATCATGGATTTGAGCTTTCCCCTGGTTAGCTCACACTGCCTTTTATTGATAGTACACTAGAATAAAGACTTTACAAAGCTTTTTAAAAAAAATGTGCCTGAGTTTCCTAGCAACCAGTATTGCTCTTCTCTTGCTATATATTTCCTTGCCTTTTCCCTAAATCCCCTCACTCTTGACGAATGCAAACCATTAAATTTAGTTCCTTCATCTTTCTCTCTTTATCATTCCCTCCCACTTTGCCATAACATCCTGCCTTTTTCCCCTCTGAGAATGAGCTTCTTACCATGGGAAAGGAGCAGTGGCCTTTCTTCAAGTGCAGCTTGTCTTCTGTCCCTACTTGTCTTGGCCGGCTGTTAGGGAAGGAGGTGAGGCTTCAGGGAGGCTCTGAGGCTCACACCGTAGACATGGAGTTGCCAGCACGTGTAAGTGGACAGACGTGTTGGCAAGCGAGGAGGCTGTTCTCTTGCCTGAGAACCCTAACAAAGTGAAGGTCAAGAGTTCACATGGGATCATCACAAGTTCAACCCCGTAAAGGGTTTTCTTAGGAAGAGTAGAGGTGGACGAAAGCTCATGCTAATTCTGCTCACCAAATATGTGTCTCTGAAATGCAGCCGACTGTAGCATAGAATATACTGTATGTAGTCAGTGTCTGTGTAGCAGTTCATGTAAATGGAAAGCATTCGCTTGTAAATGGATGGTTTGGGCTTTGAAATTAGACATGAGGACAACCTAGATTTTTATTTTTTTGGAGGCAGTTCCTGAGGCAGGTTGCAGGGCGTTGAGTAATGTGCCACACCCAAACTATGTGACTTAGCCAATGAAAGCTAGGCTTCTCCTGGGTCCTATAGTATGGTTTCCCTGTCTGTCAAGAGCCGGCTCAGCAACCAAACCCAGATTCCAGGTGTGGTATTCCACAGTCTTTCTGTAATTTGTAATCATAGAAACAGAATGTTCCTCCTCTTATTTCCTCCCTGCCAACAGTTTCTGGGTGGGTGAATGTCAGTAGCTGGAGTTATTTTTAAAGAGGAGAGGTGAGGCTTGTCGTGCAAAGCTGGGAAGAGGGCGTTTGTTTGCAGAGCAGAGCTGACATCAAAGTGTAGATTACTGCTCAGTGGCTAGGCACTTGTCCTGTACCAGGTAATGTTTAACGTGCCAGTCACAAAGATCACAGAAACGGCGTATGCCGGTGATAGCACCACCTTTTCTGCTCTGGAGGACTGAAAGGCTATACATGCCCGTGTATTTTTTTTTTAATACATGTATTCATCGGTCTTGCAGTCTCCTTTTTTTGCTGGCTGTCATTGGACTTTGAAGCTTGGAAGTTGTATCATAAAAATTTTGTAACCTTTGTCTGAGACGGAGCTCTGGGCTAAGCAATCACTTTCCACTTTTTTTCCACAGGATAATATAAACGTTTTTTTGAAAGCTTGTGAACAGATTGGATTGAAAGAAGCCCAGCTTTTCCATCCTGGGGATCTACAGGATTTATCAAATCGAGTCACTGTCAAGTAAGTTTCACCGGCTGCTTATATATTTTTTTAAACTTAGGGCTTTGTGGCTTAAGTGAAAAGGATTCCCGAGAGTTCCTGGTTACTGAAAGATCGTTTCTCTCTCTGTCTTCCTCTGTTCTCTTTCCAAAATAGGCTACTTAAAAAAATAGCGTGGGGACTGAGACTAGGAAGCTCTCTGTAATCGATAACAAGCCATGGTCTTATTTTAAATCTCTCTGCTAACCGAAATGGCAGTTTATATTTGAATGCTTGTCCAGCCTGGTGGTGTTCAGTTGCTAATGGTGACACTGCTTGTTATACTTATAAAGCTAATTTAAAAGTTATGTAAGAACTTGCAGAGTAAAAATACTTATTTAAAGATAGTTTTTATATGTTTGGAATCGAGACCTAACTGATAACATAAAAATGAGAGAGGGACAGTGATAAAGCAGAGGCGCTTAGGACCAGCAAGCAAAGCTTACCTTGTTAATTGTGGCTGGTTTCTAAAAAATGAACTGTTTTAATAGTATGGATGAGAAAGTGAAAGTGAGGGGCGGTGAAAACGTGTGCAGGTGATGCTGTTGGGTTTTAGGTGGAAAATGGTGTTCATATGATTTTGGGAAATCTGGTTTTGAGCTTCTTGTGAGATTTCTTTCCCTATAAATCTGCTTTCAGTGAATCAGAATAAACTCCTATTATCAGATAAATGTGACAGGAAAATGATTTAATTTTGTAATGATGACCACCTCTTTATAGTATGGCTCTTAAACCTAATAAACATTTTTTTCCCAAGGAAGAAAAATAGAATAAAGTATTTATCTATAGAAATAATAGAAATGGAAAAAAGTTAGTTTCTATGATTTCAAGCAAAGATTTAGTTTATGTGGTTAATATCCCTGTTGTAGTAGCTTCAATAATTATTAAAAAATTGACTGTAAAATCTTAAATGTGGACATTTTTTTCTAAAGAAAAGTAACCCTATATATACATATCTTTTAGAAGTATAACCTAAAATCCCAGGTAGGATTAATCTCTTCAGAGCCTAACAGTAAATATTTTTAAATGAACAAGCCATTTGAACCTATATGCTTTGAGTTCTGTTGAATACGCATTTCTAAGCTACAGAGCAATGATATGTGCATGGCAGGGATGCAATGGTCTGCATTTCTGATTAATTCTGACTCATTGAAGTAGTTGATTGATCCTAAGTTTCAGTGTCAGTGTGGTATTTTTACTTCTGCAGTATGTGGGGTCATGTTTAATTTCCTTGAACAATAACATTGGAAAAACTTGTTTTATTTTTCCTAATCGTCATTCTCTCATAAGACCTATCTGATGGGCAAAGAGATTTTTGACTTGGAAATTCTTTTTAAGCTGTCGCTGTTGAATGTCTTTTCCCCTTAAAATCATACTGTTTTGAAACTGGATAGCCGATGTTTGAGTAGGCTGGGGACGAGGCAAAACTTGTTTGTTGGCTCCTAGTTCCAAGGGTGCTCTGAGCAAATCTTGCCCTGGAGCCTTGTGGAATGTTGGGTCTAAAGTGTTTGGGAAAAATCATATCTGGGCCCAGGTATCAGTGAAGTTACTGACAAACTGAAACCAGAGGTCACAGTTACAGCTGTAGTAGGAAGTATGCAGAACAACTTGTTTCAGTTGAAACCACAAGGCCATAAAATGAAGGTGTGCCTGAGGAGTACGGGCCAGATCCCCTGAGGGAGAACAGTTCCCCTGACCACTCCATCTTGTTGGGACTGGCGCGGCACCGGCGTCCACCCTGGGTCTGCTGAGATGGAATCAGGGGGTTAGGAAACGCTGGCATTTGGCTTATTAAACAATGTTGGCCACAGATCTTATGCCCTGAGATAGCATTCTTACAAACAGGAAGCAGGTTTAAAGGAAAGCAAATGATTGCTTAACTAAATAGTAATGCATTTCTTTTTAGTTTTTGTTCTTATGTAATGTGGGGTCTCCAGTTGGTCAAATCCTGCCCTAGTCTTATTATAGATTAAAGGACTTGGAGTTGGTTAGACTGATGGTTCTCAGCTCAGGGCAGCTTTGTCCCCCATGGGATACTTGGCAAGACCTGGAGATACTTAGGGTTGATGTAGCTCCGGGGGGAGGTGTGTGTGTGTGTGTGTGTGTGTGCGTGCGTGCGCGCGCTACTGGCATTTAGTGTGTCAGGAATGCTACTAAATGTTCTTTAGTGAACAGAGCAGTCCCCATAACAAAATTTCTGGTCCCAAATATCAGTGGCGCTAAGGTTGACAAACCCTGACTTAGACTTGGAGTTCCTTACTTATTTCTAGTCTGCCAGCAAGATAATCATGTGCGCAGGAAGGATACTGATCGACAGTCTTCCTAAAATGTAACTTTTTATTTATTAACATATAATAATTTATATATTTCTGTGCTAGTATGTTCATCTAAAATGGAAGGATTACTATAATTTGCGTGCAGTTATGTGAGTACTTTGGCATTAGTTTGCTCATCTGTATACATTAAAATTAGCAAAGATGTGGCAAAATATTTGATTATTTTAAATGCTCTATAAAAACTCAATGTCTAAGACTGCATTAACAGTTCATAGACCTGCCGTTGACCTTGCTGCAAGTATCATCTAAGATACATATTGTGTGACATACTGAGAGGAAAGAGCAGTTTATACTCTCCACATTGGCACATGGGAGGCGTTTTTTGTTAATGGACAGGAGTGTTAAAAACATAGTGGCATATGGAGCCTAGGAGAGTTGTGTGTGGTGAGAATGAGTAGCAGGAGCAATCAATTTAAAGATCCTTTGCTAGTGAGTAATGTCGATAATCCAGACCCTAACCATAAACCCTAACTTTCCAACAATTTGAGATTTACAATTTAATTTGCAATAACAATGTTGTACCAGTCAAATCAAACTAGAGTATTCTTCATTTTTCTGTAAGTATACATATTAATACGTGACATAATTTTCTTTAAATATGCATAGTAACATGGGATCTAACTTTCTAAATGGATTATTTTACTTCTTGCAAGATGTAGTTTAAATTTTTCCAAATATGTTTGAATTATTGCATTTACTTTGGGATTCATGTATTCAAAAGTCAGTTGGTACTTTTAATTTTGACATCCCTGACTTTAATGGGTAGAATCCATCTTTACTACTTTTCTTCCCAAAAAGGCTAATACATAAATTTGTGACTCCATCTCCATGAATGGTACATTGAAGTTAAACTTTTCCTAGTGGTTTTTTGAGATGTTTACATCCAGATGGTTACTGAGGCCATGACATTTACCTTCTGTATGAATGAATAGCTGCATCATTATTATAAACCACACTGAACTCAGAAGCAAACACAACCCACAGAGAAGAGGTGGTGTGACTCCCACTTCGCTGTGCCTGCACACTCTCTATAGAAGGCCTCATGAGAGCAAACATGGTGACCCCAGTGGCAGGCACAGACACTGGACAGCTCCGATGGCCATGTCATGGTCTCTGTGGTGCTGCTGGCCATGAAGAGGCACACGGCAATTGCACGTTATAAAAGCAACCCAACAGAGTCGTCCAGACGTCCTGTATTGGAGGGAGGAAGTTGGCAGGAAGGTAGTGTTGAACATTAAATTTTTTAAAAATTCTTTAATGTTGAAAGTATTACATATGTCTGAACATTAAAGGTTTTGATTTTATGTACAGGAGCTTGACTCATAAACTAAGTCCTGTATTTAAACCATTGCTCTAAACAATTATATTGAAAATTTTAAGCTGAGAATTTGACATATTTTCAACATGTTTTTTTTTTTTCTGTCTACTTATCATTCCAATCCAGTTTTTAGCACTTCTTAGATACATTCTGTTCATGATGCAGTTACAGGATGGCAGTGTTTTTGAACACAATATTTCAGTCATGCAAAGAAAAATTCTTTTCTAGTACACTCTTTCATTATTTAGGGTATTAATATTAGGTTTAAAATGTAACTTTAAATGTTGGTATTGACTGAGTTTTTTAAAAAGATCTATTTATCAAATGGAGGGTCTATTTATCAAATGAAAAATCTTTTTATTTATTTTTTATTTTTACACATGCTGGTTGCCAAAGGAATAGTAATTGGAAACAAAACTAGTGTTAACATATTGCCTTCGTGAAAATAAGGGAGGCTCAAAATTATATTTTAAGGATTTAACTGTTCTCTAAAGCTTCAAAAAGGTGCTTGATTTTAAGGCAATACTGTAAGGTTATTTCTTAGGAATTGGGTTCCCAGATGGCACACTGTTAGCAGTCTGCCAAATTGGGCTTGAGATATTAATGTGTTTATGTGTATCGATTAAGATTTTTATTCTTGTAGGTAAAAATGCAGCTACTTTGATGTAATTTCTACTTTTTTCTGACTTAAACCTGGTTTTACATTTCTTTCATGTCTTTCAAAGGAGCTGCTCCACATCTTAATCTTTTTTTTTTTTAAAGTAAACTTCATAGTATCCAAACTTAGATCTGTAACTTGAGCATGGGAGCTTCCACCTGTCAATTCATGTTACTATTTTAGGACGTGCCCTTCCTCCCAAGCAATTGGGAGAGAGTAAAACAGAAAGGAAGTTTGCTGCACCACACACATCTCTATCCCACCCAGGCCTGGTGTTAGGTAGGTGCTGAAAGGGGAATGTTAACTCTTTTGGGTTGCCAAAGTCTCTGTTTAACGCCAGCAGTGCAAAGGGAAAGCCATGTTTTCAAATGTTCTTCAATTGCAAAGTTGGAATATCTAAGAGTCAGCTTAGATTCAGAGAAAGGTTGTGGGAGTGAGGCAGGCCTGTTGCTGGGACAGACTGTAGAATAAAGTTTTATCTGGTATTTGTTTCTCTCCATTTCTAGTTCTTAATTTGTTTCATGGACAGATAAACAAGTTTCTGGATACCAGCTCTCCTTCAGCTCTCTACTTTCTCCACGTTATGGACTTTCTGGGCAGGGTCTTTACCTTCACAAGGAACCCGACTTGTGCTTATAGCTCCAAAGGGTCTCACCTGGGGGCTCATCTG